GGAATTGGTGTGTGGGAACAGGCAGACTGGGAATTGAGGAAAATGAGACTTTTCCCAAATCATTCCCTTCAGTTGCTGCAGCTCTGGCTCCGGAATTCCAGGAATTCCAGGAATTCCAATCAAAACTCATCCCAGTTCCCAGGGTTTGTTTCACTGCAGAGCCTGGATCAGGAATTCCAATCAAAACTCATCCCGGTTCCCAGGGTTTGTTGCACTGCAGAGGCTGGATCAGGAATTCCAGGAATTCCAGGAATTCCAATCAAAACTCAAAACACATCCCAACATCCACGAATTCCAGGAATTCCATTCCCATTTAACGCCGTGATTAATTATTATCGCTTGATAATAATTATCATCATTAATGTAATATTAATAATAATGTAAATAATGTAATAGTGTAGTAATAATATAACATTAATAATATTTATAATAATAATTAATAATAATTGATAATTAAGTATAATTATATACATTATATATAATTATATATAGTAATTATATATAATTAATAATAAAAATAATTGATAATGATATAACATTAATAATTTAATAATAGTAATATAGTACTATAATAATATCAACAATAGCAATAATATTAATTTATTAATGTAGTAATATAATAATATAGTAATATAATAATGTAATATAATAATATCATGTAAATATAATAATATGGTAATATATTAATAAAATAATATGAATAATGTAATAATATAATAATATTAATAATATAATAATATAATAATAATGTAATATAATATGATGTAAATATAATATGATAATATATTAATAAAATAATATGAATAATGTAATAATATAATAATATTAATAATATAATAATATAATAATAATGTAATATAATATGATGTAAATATAATATGATAATATATTAATAAAATAATATGAATAATGTAATAATATAATAATATTAATAATATAATAATATAGCAATATAAATAATGTAATAATATGAATAATATAATAAAATAACATGAATAGTATAATGATATAATAATCTAATAATAGGAATAATATAATAAAATCAATATTAATAATCTAATAATCTAATAACATCACTATAATTATTAATATATTAATATGAATAATAATAGTAACAGTAATATTAGTAACATTATTATTTTTAATATAATTGTTATTATAATTATAATATACAATTATATAATTATAATAATATAATTATAATATACAATTATATAATTATAATTATATAATTCTATAATAATAATAATAATAATAATAATAATAATAATAATAATAATAATAATAAAATGGGAATTCCCAGGGTGGTTTTTGGGAGTCCTTTCGGGGCGGGGTTTTTTGGGAATTCCCAATTCCTGGGGGATTTCCTGGCAGGGTTTTTTGGGAATTCCCAATTCCAGGGGGATTTCCCGGCGGGGTTTTTTGGGAATTCCCGTGGGATTTTTTGGGAATTCCCAATTCCCGGGGGATTTCCTGGCAGGGTTTTTTGGGAATTGCCGATTCCCGTGGGATTTCCCGGCGGGGTTTTTGGGAATTCCCGTGGGATTTTTTGGGAATTCCCGATTGCTGGGGGATTTCCCGGTGGGGTTTTTTGGGAATTCCCGTGGGATTTTTTGGGAATTGCCAATTCCTGGCAGGGTTTTTGGGAATTGCCGATTCCCGTGGGATTTCCCGGCGGATCCTTACGGGAGATGAGGCTGTCCATGTGCTGGGGCAGGTACGGAGCCCAGGTGTCGATGGTTTCCTTCCGGCCGGCCTGCTCCATCCTGCGCAGCTCGGCCAGCAGCAGCGCCTGCGCCGCCTCCCGCACCTGCAGAACGGAAACTGGTTAAACTGGGAGCACTGGGATCCATCCCTGGGGAACTGGGAGCACTGGGATCCATCCCTGGGGAACTGGGAGCACTGGGATCCATCCCTGGGGAACTGGGAGCACTGGCATCCATCCCTGGGGAAGC